CCCGCCACGTCTGGCATGTGGGGCCAGCACCCTACTCCTTTGAGTCACAGGCGCCGCCCAGTTTTGAACTTCTGTCTTAAGCAATCCTCCTGCCTCAGCCTCCCAAACTATTGGTATTATAGGCATGGGTCACCAAACTTGGCCCTTTTCATATTTTTCTATGGGCATGTTCTGTATCATAAACATGAACCTTTTCTTCCATGTGACAAGATGCTGCTGCTATTGGTATGAGTGTAACAGAGCAGTGCTTTTCAACTAGGTGTAGGGACAAGTCCTTAAACATCTGCCAGACATCTGCTGCAAACTGAATCTGCTTGGCCCACCTGATTTTTTTTTTTTTTTAATTTAGTCTTTTGCCCATGGAATTCCAAGCCCACCTGATTCTGATTCCATCTCCTCTCTGGAATTTGCACCGGTGTGAGGCAACATTTGGAAAGGGGACACATCTAATTAGTGGCTGCTTCCAACATGTCTACCCTACCCACCCGACCCCCTTACAGTTTCTGGGCTCCTGTGATACAGAATTGGGAGGAGACGGCAGAAGAGATACCAAAAGACAGGGGACTCAGGTGGGGCTCGTTGGCTCACGTCTGTAATCCTAGCACTCTGGGAGGCCAGGGCGATGGACTATTTGAGCTCAGGAGTTTGAGACCAGCCTCAGCAAGAGCAAGACCACATCTCTAAAAATAGCTGAGTTGGCTCGGTGCCTGTGGCTCAAGCAGCTAAGGTGCCAGCCACATACACCTAAGGTGGTAGGTTCAAATCCAGCCCGGGCCCGCCAAAGAACAATGATGACTGCAACCAAAAATTAGCTGGGCATTGTGGCGGGCGCCTATGTTCCCAACTACTTGGGAGGCAGACGCAGGAGACTCGCTTGAGCCCAGGGGTTGGAGGTTACTGTGAGCTGTGATGCCACTGCACTCTACCCAAGGTGACAGCTTGAAGCTCTGTTTCAAAAAAAAAAAAAAATAGCTGAGTGTTGTGGCGGACACCTGTAGCCCCACCTACTTGGGAGGCTAGAGCAAGAGGATCTCTTGAGCCCAGAAGTTTGAGGTTGTGGGCTATGACTCTACAGCACTCTACCCAGGACGACAGAGGTTTACTGTGTCTCAGAAAAAAAAAAAAAAAAGAAAAGACAAGACAGGGCCTCAGGGCTTGTGGGGCTGGTGCTAGCTGGCCTAGAGGCCAGAGAGGTGAGGGGTGAAGAGAACAAGAGGCTGCTCTTTTCCAGCCAGGCAAGGAGGGAGCAGGATGGTGACTGGGAAATGTGGCTTTAAGTAACATCGACCCAGAAGCTAGAAGACAATGAGCCAGTCCTCGAGATTCTGGGAGCACAGGATTTCCATCCTAGAATTCCATGCCCAGCCAAACTGAGCAGGGCCACCTGCTGACACGTCAGCACCCATGCTCAGGAAGCTCCCAGAGGGCAGGCAGATTTTACAAAACTGAAGCCAATGAAGGGAAAAGGCAGGCCTAGGATAAGTCATAAAGCCTCTGCAGCCTCCAGGGATCTGAGCACAAACATCCAAGTCCATGGTCAAGGCTTCTCCACGCATGACTGAGAGACGTGGAAATAAACACAGTAGTAAGAGAAAGCATTGAAAGGGTTCAGACTGGTTGCCTGTGTGGAGCAGGAATGTGGAACAGGTGAGAAACAGGACTGCTAGTTTTTGTTATAAACCTTAGTCAGTTGTTTGCTTTTTAAATAACCTGAATATGGGCT